TAAGTTCTGCCTGATTTGCAGAGATGAGAAAGTCTTGGGTATTTGTGCCAAAGACCTGGGAGCAACCAGGAAGGCTGACCACACCCGGCCAGGTGCAGCCCATCTTTCCTCTCTCATGGCCCCTCGCACATGCTACATTCTGTCCTGCACCTGCATAAGTTGTCCCTTCTTTCTTATCAAGACCTAGCTCAGGGGAGGCCTTGGAGGAGGGAGACCTTCACAGTTACCAGGATCATGACCTCTTCTGCTCCCAGGAACATCTTTCATCACATTCACAGTTCAGAGATCATGTCTGTGGACCCTTCAGCTTGCTCCCCTCACCTTGTCCAGGCAGACTTCCCCAAGTCTCAAGCCTAAGTCAGTTCAAGTCCCCTTGGTGTGCTACAGGGCTCTAGGATGTCTTTATCACAACACTTATCGTAAAGTGTTGCAAGATGCAGGCAGGAGGTCAGAGGTGACTCCATCTTTTCCTTTCTTGCATGTTTTTTCAACATGGGCAAATAGTAGGTGTACAATAAATGTTTACTGGATATCACTGGGAGTTCTTTGACAGAGGACTTCTGCCCTACTTATCCCTCTATCCCTGGGATCCAGCCACAGGGCTCTGGCTGGGAAGAATTAACAAATTCTTTTCCACAGTCAGAGCATGGAGTCAACAGAAAATCCAAAGGCCTCATTTGGAGGCTGTGAAATTTTGGTGATGAGAGGAATGAAAGAACAGGTAATCCTTGAATGTGAGTTAGGAAGCAGCTTGACACAATTCTCCAAGCTCAAACTTATGACTAATTAAAAAAATAACTGAAAAAGATTCTGAAGTTTCATTGATACCAGGCAAAACCATTCATTTCTTGCCAGAACTAATTTCTCGCCCTTTCTTCCCCTACCTCGACAAGTGGCACCATGGTCAACCTAGGCCTTGAGCCAAAAACCCAGGATCAGCCTCAATGCCCGAAGGTCAGCAGCGGGTCCACTGGCTCCTCTGGTATGGGACTCTGAACCCCCACCTCCCAACCATGTTTCTGCTGTCCTCACTCTGCTCCAGCCACCATCACTGTCACCAGCCTCAACACACCCACAAGCTATCTCCACACATAAGCTGGATACATCTTAAAAAATAAAATAATAATGATAATAATGAACCTATGTTGCTCCCACATCCCGAAAGCCTCCAAACGTGACCCACCATATGCAGAATAAAACCTGAACTCCCTCCAGTGATGCTCAGGCCTCTAGAACCTTGTCTGTTAGGCTCTGAGATTGCCTACACCATGTCCCCATCCATCACTGCACTCCAGCCAGGCTGTGTCTCTCAGGGTCTTTCCGCTTGCCCTTCCTTCTGCCAGAATGTTCTGACCAGGATTGCCACCCGACCGGTTCCTTCTCAGCATCCTGGCTTCAGCTCAAGAGACCTGATCCTCCATCAGAAGGATCTCTGACTATTACTTTATTCTATTTTATTTCTATCATTGCACTCATTGCTCTCTGAAATTATCTCATTTATTTTTATGTGCTGATCATTGGTCTCCTCCAAAGGAGAATACTAGTTCTTCACACGCTCCAACGTGATCACAGTTTTTAATTTACTTCCTTTTTGGTTGCAGTATCAATCGCCCTAGCTCTATCCCCCAAGCTCTTAGCCTAGTGCCAGGCACGTGATTAATAAATATCTGTTGGAAGAATGAATGAAGTCAAAATGTGTCCACAGAACGGTCACTGTGGAGGGACAAGAGCCTGTGGTATTAATCACCATCACAGGGATACACACAGTAGCCGGGACCCCTTCTGCATGCATTGGACCTCACCTGGAAGACTGCTGGACAACCACACCGCCACGGGCCCAGCCACGGGGATAGGAAACCAACCACACCGGCAGGTTAAGGGAACTTAGAAAACTAGAAGCATTAGCTTGTAGAGACCAGAGAGTCTAGGAGGAATCTCGCTGCCATCTTTTATCATCTAAAGAGCTATTGAGGGAAGGGAGGATAGATTCCCTTGGAGCCCTGAGGGCAGAATCCAGATCACTGGATATTCGTTTGATGGAGACAGATTTCAATTACCGGAAGAAAATGACCTTTCCAGAGAGTTCATAGCAAAGGAAGGGGCTGCCCTTGGAAAGGGCAGCTCCCCACCTAAGAAAGCATCTGAGTGGATAGCCACCTGGCAGGGAAGTAGGGGAGGGGATTCAAACAGCACAGGGTCACCTTCAAGATCTCTATGAACCTTGAGACACCTGGGTGTCTATGACTTACAGGACCAGGGTCAAGAAAAAAATTCTGGCTAACAAGAGTTCTAGAATTCACTTACTTAGCTATCCCCAGTGGAAGAAAGTGTCACCCAAACCCAGTCTACAAGTTAAGCAATGCAGCAGAGCTGAGAGGTGTCTTGTGGACCTGAAAGCATCCCAGCCCTGCCATAGACAGCACCCTGGGTTCCAAATCCATGTGGAATCAACTCAGAATATGCCTCCAAATATGACGCATCTTTGGATAACCATCTAGGGGGAGACAGCCACCATTATCACATCATGACTAAGAGGTCCCCGGGTTTCATTTCAGAGACTACCACTTCCTAAGTGTGTAGGATCCCCAGCAAAGAAATCAACCCGTCCAAAGTTGGTTTGCCTCATCTGTAACAGAGTTTCACCTAAAAATGGGGCTAAGGGACCAATGAAGCCCAAATGGCACAATTTGATAATCACTGAAACTCAGCATTAGACATGTTACTATTCACTATACTACTTGATGTTTTGTTTTAAAATTACTATAATAAACGTAAAAACGATAGGGAGTTTCAAATAATACTTACTTCGTGTAATAGTAATAGAAACATTGCCCATCATCGTTATGGGGACTTTCAGGAATCCTAATTATTATCAGGACAGTGGAAATTATCCTATTTAACCACCCCACCAGCCCTGCAAAATGTACAGTAATCATCTCCCACCTGGCAGATGAGGAGACCAAAGCTCAGATTAATTAAACAGCCTCAAATCCTGCCGCTGGCGTGGGGATGAAATGTGATCTGAAATCAGAGTTGTCCGACTCCAGCGGCACAGCTGCCTTTTATTTCAAGAATAGCTCATTGTGTTCTCCTTGGTTGATATCTACACGATTATGATATCGTTTATTCATCTAAGTCAGTGGCTCCGCGGCTTTTTTTCTCAGTCGAACTCTTTTCAAATGTAACCTTCCTCAGAACTCCAGGAAGTAAAACCCATGAAAGCCGAACAGCTCCAGCTGAAGTGGGAATTAGGGCCCAGAAACAGGCCACTTGATTCTGGGTGGCTGCAGAAGCACCCTGGGGTCTATGGAGCAGAGTGTGAAAACCCCAGATGGAAGCCGACCACGACAGCAGAAAGCCCCAGACTCTATGAATTACGTATCAAGGGCAGCCTCATTTGTCTAATGCATCTTTCATTTCCTTGTCTCCCATCACATTTGATCCTCATTATCAACTCTAAGGTGGACAAGGCAGGCCATATCATCCTCAATTTGCAGATGAGCAAATCAAGGCCAAATGGAGTTAAGCAACTGGCCGAAGGTGCGCCAGTTCAATTTTTCGGCCAAGTGCAGACTGGAAGTCGAGTCTGTCTGCATTAATTCAGTGTGACCTGGCAGAGAGGATGCCATCTACTGGAAATTGCTACTGACCCTGGGTCCACAAAGTGGCCATTCAGCTCTTTGGCCATTGAGAGCTGAGCACAGCCCCAAGGCACCCCCTGCCAAGGCCCTGTCCCAGAGCAGATGGCCATGGGCAAGGGAAAAGAGCTCAGTGCCACTGAAAGGCCTGATAGCAGGATTTTGGCTGTGGACAGGCCATTCCTGTCTGAGCCATGTCATGCTGAGCACAGGGCAGGGGAGGGAGGAACGGCCCAAGTGCCTTCCACCTTCATCTGCAGCAAGTAAATAAGCCTGCAAAGAGACGGGAGGTAGAGCAGACCTGGGTTTCAGTTATACATCACTTTTGCTCTGAGCTCTTGCTTAGACATCCCTGAAATCAGTAGCAGCTGACAAATGCCTGACCTCCCCCACCCCCCACCCCCTGCCACTCCAGAGCATCATCTCTGAACTGTGCTGGAGCATGTGTTGAAGCAGACAACACTTAATTATCACTTAGTCTTTAATTAGCACTTAATTATTAACACTTAATCCATCTGTAAAATGGGGACACTAATACCTGCTTCATAGGGACTCTGGGAAGATTAATTAATGCTTGTGGCCCACTTTAAAGATGCAGAGCATTGAAGAAGTGCTCGACGGCGGCATTAATAACTGTGGCAGATTTACTTCATTTTCCCAATGAGGTTCCTCTTTTCCTCTTTGCCCCTTCCTCCCTTTGCAAATACTCTTCTCCCCCACAATATCCATCCAACTTTGCCCTAGGGGAGAAACATTTAGTTCTGTGTTTCCCAGACATAGGATTTCCCATCTAGGAAACAGGCTATTTACAGCCATCTTCCCGCACTTTAATTTCCTATTATGTCCTCTGAATATGTCAATGCCTTCCCAGTAAATATTTTGATGCACGCTCTTGCAGTAGCGTATGTGGAGGCTGAATGGGACAGCTGCTCCCCATATTAGGGAATTCCAGATGTGGTTTAAATCCACCAGTCTTATCTGCACGAATGCCCAGACTTAGCATGGGAGAAGGGAGGGATCTTTTAGTTGCCTCTGGGGATGATCAAGAACTGTCCAACCCTCAACCTGGCTAAAGTGCTTTTCAAGGACTCCAGATCCACCTCTAGGTTGCCTATTTAGAATGAGCAATATTCCCTAAGCTGGCTGGTAACAAGATGGTCTGGAATACAACCTAGGTCAGGATGTCTGCACAAGTAACTTCAGAACCTAGAACCATAGACATAGGACTATGGGAATGGAGGGAAAATATAGAGTGTTTAGGGTTCAACCAAACTGAACAGTAAGCCAGAACATTCTCCCAGGTCTCACTTCATCTCTTCCCTCCGCCTTTGCTGCCAACCAAATAGAGGGATGGATACTCACTCTTCTTGGAAGCTGAACCCACGGTCTCTTGGAGTTCCAGCCATGGGGGTAGAGAGCTGCTCCATCGAGGTCCTGGGCTGCAGGGCCTCAGGTAAGCCCTGAACTCTCTTCCAGATTTCATGGCAAGTCTTGTCTAGGCTGTCTTGGGGTGTGTCCTGGTGGATCCAGACATATCTGGGGAATGGGCCCAGGGCAGAGGGGCGCTTGGCCACAAGGGCCGAGGATGAAGAGAGTCCATTCCCACTGGCCATCCTCCTCCTCTCTTTCTGGAAGCCCCTTTGTCCTCCCAGGGCTGGAAGACAGAGAGACCATCCACCACCGCCCCTCATTCACCAAGAAGGGCGCTGAGGGGGGAGCCTGGGAAGCAGGTCAGTCCTGTCCGGCTGTTGCTCCAGCCAGATGGTTATATTGGAAGGCCTTGGGTTTGTGTAGGGATGGTGGGTGCTGGACAGCTTTCTTTGGGGGAGAGGGGGCTTATTTTGACTTGTTTTTACTTGCTCGTTGCTGACTTTTGCCCCCCTCCCCTTCTCCCTTAGAAGAAAATATTTAAAAGTCAACAAAAACCAGTAGCTTAGTAACTGTGGAATCCCCGGGAGCTCAGGAACCAGGGGCCTGGGCGGGCAGAATGACATCTGGGAGCAGCTGGAGGGGGAGGACTGGCTCTCCCCACAGTCCCTGTCACTCCCCCGTTGCGACACCCCTGTGACTCCTTGCGGCACCTGGGGCTCAGCCCATTCTTGCCCGCTGAGCCACAGTGGATGGCTGGGCAAGGTCCTGGCACTGTGCTAGGTTCCTTGGGGGCAGGAGCTTGCCATGAGGTTCTCAGCGCGGGCCTTCCCAGGAACCCCGCGCACACCCAGTGCCAACGGCCCTGGCCCCCCGGGGAGTGGTGGTGGCTGCCGCTGTCCCTGATCCCCGCTTCTGACCCCCTTTCCTGAGGATGCTCTGCTGCCTGGGAAATAAATCCCCAATGTGCCAATGGGCCGGCAGCCCGCCCGGCCGCGGACCCCCAGCAGACACCTGCCACGCCCCCTGCGCAGGGCTGCGATCAGCACCCGGAAGGTTCCCAACCCTTTAAAAAGGCGCAGTGTCCGCAGGGCCGGCCCGGCCGGGCGGCTGTGGCCAATTTTCTCGCCAGTGGCTCCCACACCCTTGCCGTCGAGCGCTGGAATTCTTTCTGTGGGTTTCAAACGCAACGGCTTGGTGCGCGGGCACCTGCAGGTGGGGTGGGGGTGGGGTGGGGTTCGCCCGACGCCAGGACGCTTTTCCCATTAGACGTCATGGCCAAACCCCTGCCGCGCCACCCCACCACCCCCAGGGAACCTCAGAGCCTGTCTGGGTGTCCCTTTATCCTCCGGATTTGAACCCTAACTGCCCTTCTGTGGGCCTGACTGAGGTGCCAGGCTCTGGAGTCATATTAATCTTATTCAGGCTTGTGAAATGAGTACCATTTTCCACGATCGTTCTACATGGTGTGAGGAAACTGAGTCTCAAAAGTTATAAAGGGTGTGTCCAAGGCCCACGAAGAAATGGGGAGGTGAGATTCAACCTCAGGATTCTGGGTCCAATCCTGTACCCTCAGCCGTCAGAAAGACTCCCAGCCTTGGCTTCAGGAGGTCCTGGGGTTGGGGGACAGCGGGGTGGAGAAGCAGCGAGAAGGGCTCTTTGCTAATCGGTACCCTCCTAATCTCAGTGAGGAGGCTTCCTTAACCAGAACCGGCTGGGCACCTCTCCCCCCCTCGCTCTCTGGCTCCCAAAGGCAGTGGTAGCTCCTCCAGCGGTCCCCCTGGGAAGGACCTGCAAGAGGCAGAGAAAGAAGGGAGAAGAGATGGCAGCCTGTAGCCGTAGGGCTGCCTTGGTCCTGTCACTGCCTCTCCCAGCCCTGCCACCCTGACAGTCTTCTTCCTGGGTTCCTCAATATCAGCGGAGCCCTGGCTCTGTGCCAGGTGAGCTGCTGGGCGTCGGAGAAGCAAGAGAGTGAACAAAACTGGCCAGTCCCTGCGCTCCTGGAGTCCATATTCAATGGGGGGAGATAGATCACTAAAGGGCAAACAAGTGAAGGAGCAGTAATAAGGGGTGAAATCAAGGCTCTGATGGAAAGTAACCGACAAGATGAGGCATTGGGGAAGGAGGAGAGGCAGGTGGTCCAGCAGGGTCTTTGAGGAGGCAACATTTGAGATGAAACGGAAGGACCAAAGGAAATCCTTTCCTGAAATAGTGCTAAATAATAAAACTACTTTGAAGATCCCGTTTCTGCCACATAGTAGGCCCTCAATAAATACATATTGGATAAATTAAAGGTGTTTATTACTATAAAACGTCTGGCATACCGTAGGTACCCCCAAATACAACCTTGCTCCTTACAGAGGGGCTGAGTTCCTAGAAATGTTGACTCTTGAATTTTGAAATCCAAGCTTCGTTCCCTTTTTGATTTTCATTATAAAATTGAAGATGTTCTCCTTTGGGGGATATTCCGAGGACCTAGACTGAATAAAATTATAGTTAAGAATGTAGAAAACCTTTTAAGATAATGTATTTAAAGGGAAAGTGATCATTTCTGATGAAATATTAATAGTTCTGAAAATGTCACTCAGTGTTTGTGCTGCTTGCCATTTGATTGGCTAACACCCATGCTTAGCACAGAGCACCAACCACCCTGCGCTGCAGCCAGCTGACCCCTTGCTCCCTTTAGCAGGAAACTAGGCAACAGGGGCTGAGATGGAAAGGGTTGCGAGAAACAAATACAGCAGGCAGAGGGAACAAGGATAGAAGCACGGTTCTCAGAGCACACACAGAAGGCTTCTAGAAGATTCTGCAAACACCTTAAGTTTTATGCCGTGAAACTGTATAAGGCTGCATCTATTATGGTAGCCACATGGTTTTTGTTTTACTTTTTAATTGTATTTTAATGTAAGTTAAAATTTTTTTCAGTTTTTTTTTTTTTTTAATGCTAACCACATTTCAAATGTTCATTAGCCACATGTGCCTAGTGGCTACCGTGATAAACTGTAGAGAGGACATTTCTATTATTGCAAAACACGTGGACTCTAGAATCAAAGTACTTGGGTTCAGATTCAGAGTTCATTAAATTCTGAGTTCCCTGGCAGTGTATATAGATCGAGGCAAGTTACTATGTACCTTGGTGTATTCGTTTGCTAGGGCTGCATTAAAACACGCGTGCGCGCGCGCGCACACACACACACACACACTATATGGGTTTAAATAATAGAACTTTATTTCTTCACATTTCTTCCAGATACAAGTTCAAGATCGAAGTGTCAGCAGAGCTGGCTTCTTTCTGAGGTCCCTTTCCTTGGTAGGTAGATGGCCTTTTTCTCCCTGTCGCTTCCCATGACCTCTGTGCAGGACACTTGTCTTTAAAGAGCACCAGGACTAGGGCGATAGCTCACTGGTGGGGCAGCACTTGCTAGCAAGCATGAGGCCCTGGGTATGATCCTCAGCATTGCATAGTTGATTAAGGCTGGCCCTAATGGCTTCATTTTATCTTAACATCCTCTTTAAAGGCCTTAGGTCCAAATACTGCCATATTCTGAGAGATCAGAGGTTAGGACTTTAACATATGAATTTCAGAAGGAACAATCCTACCCATAACACTTGCTTTCCTCCTCTGTAAAATAGGACGATAATAAAGAACACTTGCTTTGTAGAATCATGGTAGATGTTCTATTACTAAGCAATTGCTTAACACATAGTAATTGCTAGAACAACACCTGGCACATAAGAGCCACATAAAAGTGCTATACATTGGTTTGCTTGTTGATTACATTGAAATGTATGCCTTTAGAGCTTCTGAACAACAGCTTTTGTGCTGTGCGGAGGGAGGGAGAATTTTAGCTGTGCTGGGGAAATTGTTTGATGGTTTCAAATCATCAGGTGAGCCTCTCCAGGTTGTTTGATTTTGAGCAACTATCACAGGCCATGATTGTGCAAGGCAGAGATGAGCGATAAGTCCTCTTCTGTTTTAATCAGCTGTTTCACGACAGTAACTGAAGGATCCAACCACTGTAGGGGAGGGAAAATTTATTTGGAGGCTTACAGTTTCAGAGGTCCATTCCTTGAGGTTCAAGGTGAGGTTGAGCCTCATGGTGGAAGAGTGTGGCGGAGGGAAGCAGCTGACATGGTGATCAAAAAGCAGAAAGAGAGACTCCATTCTATAGATACAAATATATACCCCATAGCAACCCCCCTGCCCTCTGCCAGTGAACCACTTCCTCCAGCCACACCCCATCTGCCTCCAGCCACCACCCAGTTAATCCCATCAGGGATTGGATCACTGATTAGGTTAAAGCTGTGACCCAATCATTTCTCCTACAAACCTTCTTGCATTGTCTCACACAGGAGCTTTTGGGGGCCACCACATCTAAACCATAATATCTACTCCAGCCAGAGTCACAGCCTAGCGAAGGGGAAAAATTTTTCCATGAGTTCCTGGTATAGGGCAGCCATGGCATAAACAGAGCTTATTCCAGTCTCTAGACAACAGGTAGTTATGTCCCCCAGCACAAATGTTGAGGTGCCTGGCACTGTTGCAGGAGCTAAAGAAAGAGCGGTGAAGAAGACAGGCTTTGTCCTGCCTTGTTTTCGAGCTCAAAGTAAGTCATTTAATGGTCACAGCTACCATTTCATCTATGAATTATTTTTAGCTTGGAAAAGTTCTTAAATTCCCCTTTATTACCCTGATAACCCTGGGCAAATTGTCCAGCCTCTTTGTGCTTCTGTTAGCTCCTCTACAAAATAGACATAATAAAATACTGATCTCAGAGGGTTGTTTTGTGACAATTGAGATAATACGCATAAAGAGCTCAGAAGTTAGTCTGGCACATATATAGAATTTCCACATTGAACAATTTCCCCAGCACAAGTAAATTTCATTAGGTAGGACTCTGAGATCCTTGCTTTCCTCTTTGGAAGCAGGAAAGCCTCAGGGGGAGGCGATGCTCCCTACCTCTCCGCTAGCCACAGCCTCTACTCATCTCTGTTACATCTCTGACACAAACTTAGCCACACTGGAAAACTCAGCAAGAGGAGCATGAGCTGAGCTCATTTATCTTCATAGGCCTGCACCACTTACTCTGCAGGCTCTATTCTTCACCTAGAATATTTTATTAAACACACCTTCCTCTCAGAATAAATACAACTTTTCAGCTATAAAAGAAAATTGCAAAGGGTTTTGCCATTTTGCTTTTGAAAGTCTTTGGCCGTGAGTAATTTATTTAATTTACGATTGGCTCTGATTTCTCACCAATCTTGGTGACTACTGGGGAAACCGTCCACGGTGAGAAAACTCCAACCTACAAATCGTTATCAGATGTAATGAAATTTTTATGACTCCTAAATTCAACAGTTAATGAAGTTGACACAATGTTACACTTTGCATTTAATTAAATATTTACTGATTTCAGTGTCGCAGCTTTCTTCTTTGTCTGGTGGGGCTAATAAGAGAATTTCCAGGCCTGAAACATTTTTGTAGTCCCCTAAAGATCCCAAAGACTCCCGTTCCCATGCTGGTAATGCCCAATAGGTCAAAATGCTTAGGGACAGGGCCCCTGCACGGGGAGATCCCAGGAGAGTTTCTTGAGGAACACATCATCAGAGATAGAGGAAGGGAAAGCCACAGCCACATTGCATGGAAATAGGCCCCTCTAGGTGTTGTCTCAGCAGCAGAACCGGGCTGCACAGCAGCCCACCGTTTCCAGGACTTACTTTGAAAAGAAACCTGCAGTGTTCCGGAAGCAAAGCGCTGTGACTCAGTGGCCTCTCTCTGGGCACCAGCATTGGCAATCTCTACGATTTCCTAAGAGGAGCATGGTTGTCCCTGGTTTCCCATATGTGAGGAGGTAGTTACGAGTGTGGACGGTGACAGCTGGCCCACTCGAATTAGAACTCTTGCTTGTTAGCTGGTGGCTTAATTTCTCTGGCATTTCTTCATCTGAAAAGTGGTAAAAATGACAGACAGGTTGGGGTAGGGAGAAGGTTGAAATAGGGAAATGCAAAGTTCTCAGCACTGTGCCTGGCTCATGGTGTATCCTCAAGGAAAGAAACCGATTATTGTGGTCGGCTATTAGTATTCACAACCTGGTAATGCAAAAATGATAGCCTATGAGATCTCCACTTAAAGTCGGGGGAAAGGGAAGGCCATAGTTGTCAGAGGAAAAGAAAATGGCGTGGCAGAGTTGGCCCTGTAAGGCAGCCACAGAGTTAGAACTCAGCGGCCCCATCACTTCCTGCTTGAGTCCTTCTGCCAGACCCGCTTCATGGTGGGCATCCTGAGGTTCCTGCAGAGGCCTTGATGGGATCCCTCTCAACTAGATGCTCTGTACTTTGCCCTTCCTTCCCCAGCTTCCATTCTGGGTCTTTTGTCACCTATACATGTTTGTTTAAGGCTTCTTTCTACTGCTAAGTTGATTTGAGGCAGCTTTCAGATTAAAAAGTACAAAATAGGGCATCAAAGAATAAAGCCAGAATTGATTCCACCTAAGGAAGGCAGAAAGAGTTGCTGCTTTTCGGCCCCTGCATTGGTCAGACGGCATGGAGGTAATCAGGTAATAAAACCGGGTATTCCTGTTTGTCAGCTACAGCAAAAATGGAAACACGTCGGATGGCAGAGTTTTTTATTTTCTGACAGCAGAAAATACACATCTTCATCTGCGGAGACAAAATGTTTCCTGGAAATAACCCCAAGCATGAATTTATCATGAGTCCTTGTATAAAGGACACTGAGTGACACAGTGGGCAATATATTCAATTCTGTTTTCATAAAAGACAGAAATGCTGTTAAGTTGGTCAGTTTCTCAGATCAGGGTTCTCTGAAGACAAGAGAGTATAACATTAAATCATAACCCAATGAAGACGTTCCTTTAAGGAACTCAGATAATGAAGTCGAGGAGAGATACCTTTGGGTCCATTCCAACTCAAGCCTCCATCGGTTCACCCACCTGTCCACCTATCTATCCACCCGTGCTCTGTTTGTGTACCCGGGTACCCATGCATCCATCCATCCAGGATTCACAGAATGTGCACCGTGTGTCTGGCACTCTGAATGGCTCTAGTGAGGATTGTTGATAAGAGCTGATATCTGGGCTGAGTTTAAGGGACAGAGAAGAAAGCCAGACAAAGGAGGAGGAGAGCATTTCAGGCACAGGAAGCAGCCTGCAAAAGCTTCCCCCACCCCTATGACTCCAGGATATGGGGAGAAGGCATGGGTCCTGGCAGGAGTGTGAGGACCTCAGGCTGGCCAGAGCATGGGGGTTCAGGAGTAGGGAAACTGAAATTGGAGAGTCAGGCAGGGGCAGATAATAGAGGCTCTTGAAGACAGGGTCTAGTGGGAATCTGAATTTTACTCTGTAAGCCATGGACAAAGTCCAGGAAGGCAAGGGAGCTGTGGAATCAAGTTAGTGTTTTAAAAAGGTGACTGGTGGCAACAGGAAGACCTGCGACATGGGGCAAGAGCAGAGGTGAGCTGTTACTGTGCTGTTTGAGATGATGGGGGCTATGTTGGTTAGATTTTCATCACGGTGACCAAAATACCTGAAAGGAACAACTTCATGGAAGAAACGTTTATTCTGGGCTCACAGTTTCAGAGGCCCAGTCCATGGTGAGCTGACTACCTCATTCTGGTCCTGAAGTGGGGCAGAACATCACAGCGGAAGGGCACGGAGGAGGACAGCTGCTCAGTTCATGGTAGCCAGAGAGAGTGAGCTCAAGCAGTCAGGGAAAAAAAGATATAATCCCCAAGGCATGCCCCCCGTGACCTAACTTCCTCCAGTCAACATCCAGTTGGTTCATCCAAATTCATCAAGTTGATTAACCCACTGATTCAGTTATAGTTCTCATAATTGAATAATTTCACCTCTTGCATTAATTAACACAGGAGATTTTGAGGGACACTTCATATTTGAACCGTAACACGCAGCCCCTGATGTCCAAAATCTCCTGCCCATTTCACAATGCAAGACACATTTAAGTCCATTTCCAAGAGTCCCCACAGTCTCAACAGTTTCAGCATTGCCCAAAAATCTAAGTCCAAAATCTCATCTCAGATTCAAGGCCATATCTTGGCTATGGGTGCCTGTAAAAATCAGAATTGCAGATATTCAACGTAGAAAGGCATAGCATAAACATTTTTTTTTTCATTCCAAAGGGGAGAAATAGACGCATAGAAAGAAGGGCTGGCACCAAAACAAGATCAAAATCCACTTGGGAAAACAAGTCTTTTAGCTCCATGTGTAGCAACTAGGGCACATGGTGATGTGATCTCCAAAGGGCTTGGGCAGCCCCACCCCATGGCTTTGCTGACTGCAGTCCCCTGGCCTCTCTCATAGGCTGGCTCTCTCTGTACCCAGCCGCTTCCCTTGGCAGACTTTTCATATTACTGGCATCTCTTAATCCTGGGTTCTCCACTGCAGCTGTGGCTTCTGTCCCACAGCTTCACACATCACCCTCTCACGGGCTAACTGCAGGGATTCTTACCCCGCTACCCTTGGCCTGGCCACACAGGCCTTCCTTTGAAATCTCAGTGGAAGCCTTCATAACGCTTTAATTATAGTATCTTGCAGAACCATTACCATGTAGACAATGTCAAGGTCTGCCCCCCAGCTCAGGCAGTAGTCAGGTCCCCTAGGACCTCAGCTGCAGTGGCCTCTGAGTACCTGGGTGGCCGAGCATGGTGATTCTGGAGAAACAACTTCCTAGGTACCCCTGTACAAGCAAAGTGCCCCCAAGGTATTTTGTTTTAAAACCTCTATTTTATTTTTACGTGGTGCTGAGGATCAAACCCAGTACCTCACACATGCCAGGTGATTGCTATACCTCTGAGCCACAACCCCAGCACGCTCAAGGTCTCCTATTGTAGATTTCACTTTCATAACCTAGAGCCTGCAGTGGGTGTGGTCGTGCTGATTCCTGAAGTCCCCTGAAGGCATCTTTCAAATTATCTCTGTGCAAAGTACTTTGCTTCTCTTTAGTGGCACTAATCTCCTCAGCAACCCCAACTTCTTGGCGCCAATATTTCTTGTGCTTCCTCTCTGGTCACACTGCATTTTTCAAATATTTCATCTCTAGTTTTTGCCCCAGATTCTCACAGTAAACATGGCTAAAAGCTGCCAGCAACACTTAGGCTACTGCCTCAATTCTGTGCTGCCTTGAAGTTTCCTCTGCAAGATCAATTAATTAATCACCTTTAAATTCAGCCTCACAGAAAAAAAATGACATGAAAAAAATGTAGACAAGTTATTTGCCAGAATATAATATGAATGGCCTCTAGTCCAGTTTCCAACAGAGTCCTCATTTCCCTCTGAAACCTCATGAGCACTGACAATGCTGAGTCTTGACTATCAGCATTCTGGTCTGAGCTCCCACAAGAATTGGCCTTTCTAGTCTGCATCTCTAAAGTTTTCCAAACTTCTCCCACAAACCAGTTCCAAAGATTTCTGAATCATATGGTCAGGTTAGTCACAGCAATGACCCCTTCTCAGTCCCAATTTCTGCATTTGTTAGGTTTTCAACACTGTGACCAAAATACCTAACAAGTACAACTTAGAGGAGGAAAAGTTTATTCTGTCTCCTGGTTTTAGAGATTCAGTCGATGGTTGTCCAACTCTATTGCTCTAGGCCAAAGATAAGGTAGAACATCATGGCAAAAAGACATGGGGTGGGGGCGCTGGGGCTGTGGCTCAGTGGTAGATCGCTTGGCTAGCTTGTGTGAGGCACTGGGTTCGATTCTTAGCACCACATATAAGCAAATATATAAATACAGGTCCATCAATAACTAATAAAAATGTTTAAAGGCATGGGGGAGGAGTGCAGCTCATGGCAATCAGAAAGGACAGAGTTGGGGGAGAGAAAGAGAGAGAGGGAGCATGCTCAGGGAATCAGAAACATAATATATAATCCCCAAAGCACATCCCCAGTGATCTAACTTCCTCTAGCCATGCCCAACCTGCCCACAGTCACCACTCAGTTAATCAATTCAAATTATTAATCCATCAAGTGGATTAATCCACTGATTAGTTTACAGCTCTCATAATCTAATAATTCCACCTCCTGCATTAACACAGGAGTTTTGGGTGACTACATCATATCCACACCCTAGCAGGGCCTGAGATCTGAGAGTCGTTAAGGATGCAGAATTTAGAGGACCCAGTGATAGTCTGGATGTGGGGTCCAAGCAAGAGGGGAGTCTAGGATGACTCAACAGTTTTCTGGCTCAGAAACACGAGTGGATGTGGAAACCATTTTCGGAGCTAGCGAACTGAGCAGAGCCTAGAAACGAATGAGTTCAGTTCTGAGCAGGCTGGGGGCTGGGAATTTCCTCATCTGAGGGAAGAGAGCACCATGCACAATGTAGGCATTGGGGACCTGGGAGGTAAGAGCAGGTTTTTTTTTCCATAAGGAGCTGCCGGTGTCCACTGGAGTGGGGTCAAATGAGAAAGTGGACAGTTACTGATACTAGAAGTCACAGAACAGAGGCCTAATTTCTCCTTGGGCCCTTCCTGGGTCCCTAGACTGCTGGGTGGCTGTGGATCATTCACATTAAGTCCAGCTTCCTCACATTGGCCTGTGTTTTCTTTCTGGAAAGTGCTTCTTTTCACCCACCTCTCTCTCTAGGCTGAACTGGAAACTCTTGTGTTGCTTTCTTTGAACCCTTTATCTCTCCAGGCATAATTAATCATGGTTTGCTATCCAACCCCTGAAGGATTTCTCTTATTGTTCATACTTGTTTCCTTAGCACCTAGCACACAGCCGATATGTAGATCAATGGTTGTGGCATGAACCAATGAATGGAAGAGTGAGGAACAAGCAAATGACTGCCTAGGATACCACAGCAAAAAGGAGGAAGGATGCATAAAAGGGCATTGTTAGCTGCTGCAACAAGCCCTAATATTTCAATGGCTTAACACTATCAAAGGGCTTTTCCTTTTGATCACGGCCATCTCTATATTGGTCCTTTGCAGGTGTTTCTGTTCAGTAGGTAACTTTCCTCCCATAGTGACTTCTTTCATCTTATGGTGCTGCCATCCCTAAGGTTCCAAATGGTATATTCCCACTCAGTAGACAGGGGAGTAGCCCTGGGAGGACTTTATGGTCTAAGGCTTGGAGTGACATACACCTTATTTCATAACTACATACCTTATTTCATAACTGCACCCAACTGTAATGATGACTGGGAGACATAGTCCTGGCTGGGCATAATTCTTACTGACAGCTCAGCAGTATTGACATTTTGGGCCAAATAATTCTTTGTGGGCAGAAGCAGCCTCCCTATGTATTGTAGGATGCTTAGAAGCAACCCTGGTCTATAGCTCCTAGGTGTTGGTAGCATCTGCCAGTTGTGACAGCTAAAAAATGTCTGCAGATACTGCTAAGTGTCCCCTGGAGGGAAAATGGTCTTCAGATGATAACTGCTGCTCTATACTACAGAAGGGGAAGCAAGAATCTGTGATGTCCAGCTAGCTGTCCATGCTGAAAGGGCTATCAAACGCAGCAGGGATGCAAGTGGGAAGGCTTTAGGAAAGTGCACCTGGGGAAGGTGACACTCGAGCTGAGTGGTGATTGGGAGTTAAGGAGAGAGAGAATGGCATTGCGGGCAGAGGAAACAGGTGGATGGAGCAGGGAGGAGGTAGTGTAGCTGGCTGGAGGACCTTCAAGGAGGGATGATAGCTGGAAAGCCGCTTGCCTGTGGATTATGGTCTTTGACGCACAGAGTAAAGCACTGATCTGTGTGTTGTCACGGGTGTGAGCTCTGTCCCTTCCCTTTCCTCAATTCACAAAAGAATTTTCTAGAAGAATATCAGAACTTGGTGGCCTCAACATTTGGTGGCATTGAAGGAAGAGACCCTTCTGTGGCTCACCGGCTTGCTTCTCCCTCCAGGTTGTGGCGGTCCAAGGGCTCGACCTGATTTGTCCTGGGTTACTCTTTCAGGAGCCCTTTCTGTTACCTTTCCTGGGGAAGCAGATTGCGGCCATCTCTACAGTGACAGCCTCAATCTTGGGAAATAAGTGCTTGTGTCTGACCACATGAGCCTTTGGAGGACACCTCACAGGATTTAGAAATCCTTACTCCAACTCAGATCCCAAGCTTTCCCTCACTTTACCTGGACACACACTCAGTAGCCCTCCTCTGCAGTCCTGCTTGGCCCCCTGACTTCCATTCTCTCCTCAGATTGTTGGAGCATCCATTTTCATTCTCTCTCTCTCTCTCTCTCTCTCTCTCTCTCTCTCTCTGGGCTTCAGAAGGTTCTTTGATTTTCTTCTTGGGTCAGAAGGAAAATTTCAGGGCATTGAGTCTACAGTCCTTCCTTGAATCAGGCTGAGTTCTCCAGAGCATTGGGCTTTGTTTTCTTTCTAAAACAAACTCTGATCTTATCTGAATATGAGGCTTATCTTAGCAAGTCACTACATTGCATTTGGCTTTTTTGCAATGTGATATCGTGACTAGACCTTGACCCATGGCTGCTCTTGCTCATCTGGGGAAGGGAAGCAGCAGGCAGAGATCCAGTTCCAGGAGGCTGAGACCCACACTTTCTTTGGTCTCTATTGCTCTTAGGGGGTTACCAGGGCCCCCATCCCCGCCTTTGCCCATATCACTCTGATTACTGCAGTCGCCTCCCAAGTGGTCATCTTTTTTTTCTGTCCCTTCCCTTTCTCTCATTCCCCAGAGAGAAGCCAGAGCACATGCCAGGTTGTCAGAGTTGAGTCCATATTTCCAAAGTATCTTCTGCCAAATCCGCCATGGTATCCACAGTCTTCACACACAACTCTTGGCCTATGTATTCTGTTAGCTTTCCTTCCTCCAACTTTCTTCCTGTTATGGGCCAAATTATGCCCTGCTCCACTTATATTTCCTAGTCCTAACCCCCCAGTCCTTCAGAATGTGACCCTATTTGGAGATGGGGGTCTTTAAAGAGGTAATTAGATTAAAATGAGATCATTAGGGGAATCCTAATCCAAAATGACTGGTGTTCTCATAAGAGGAAATTAGGGTCCAGACATGTACAGAGGGGAGATCCCGAGGGAGCAGATGGGCCATCTATAAGCCAAGGAGAGAGGCCCCAGAAAGAACCAACCTTTGGTCACCTTGATCTTAAACCTCTAACCTCCAGCCACGTATTCTGTGGTGCTCTGCTATGTTAGCCCTAGCAAACGAATACAGGTCCTATTTCCCACTGCCTGGGAGTAAAAGCAAAACTCCTCACCCTCCTGTGTTTTAGTCAGCTTTTTTTGCTGCTGTGACTAAAGGATCTGACCAGAACAACCGTAGAAAAGGAAAAGGTTATTTGAGGGCTCATGATTTCAGAGGTCTTGGTCCATGGAAGGCCTGCTCCATTTCTCCAGGCTCCAGATAAGGCTGAATATCAATGGTGGGGGGTGTGGCAGAGGGAAGCAGCTCTCGTCATGGTGATCAAGAAGTGGTGGTGGGGGATTGGAGAGAGAGACACTCCATTTTACAGATACAGATATATACACCAAAGCCACACCCTATTACTTCAATTACATCAGTTAATCCCTACAGGGGATTAAATCACTGGTTGGGTTAAGACTCTTCCAACCCAATCATTTTTCCTCTGAACCTTCTAGCAATGTTTCCCAAATGAGCATTTGGAGGACACCTCACATCCAAACCGTAACACCTTGTGAGACCCTGCCCCACACCCCTTCCCTGGTCCCTTCCCTTGTTTAAGGTCTTGCCTGTGCTCTCTTGCATACCTCAAACCCCTTTCCAACATTGCATGACTGCCTTGCTTAATTTTAGATCCCAATGGTAAGACAGCCGTTCCCATCCGTCCTTTTATGGTACATCCCTACATTCTTCCTCCTTGCACTA